TGTTTGTCGGCCGTACTCCGCGTACTTATCGGGACTTGTTTGTGTAGTGTATTAACTTCAGACGGTGAGACAACGCCCGTACCCAGGACGCTGTCGTGCTCGGAAAGCAGGAGGAGAAAGAGAGAGTGGCAGCGCGGCTGCTGCACTCAACAAAGGGGGTCCCGGTGCATCATCACCGTACCCCTACCTAAAAGGTTCTACACCATCTGCGTCACACTTGTACGTATGGCTAATGTATCCAAACCATGTCCGTAGACCCACGAACAAAGACCAGTAACACCACGAGAGGATGCAGCAAAAACAAGACAGACTAGGAGAGAACCACCCTTTCACTCTTCTTCCTTCCTCTCGTTCATGATGTAGCAAACAACAACTCCTGAACCGAAACTCCACGAAGACGAAGAGCGACAAGAAAGGGCAAGATGACGGGGAGGTCTGCTGCAGATGGCGTACGTTCCTCCTGTGGTCCATCAGTGGGCTGCCAGGAGGAGTCGCTCCCGTGGGAGCTCCTCTGGGAGCTGGCGCTCTCGCCCATGTGCTGTTGATTGTTGATTGCGGTTATACGGCGGTGTGTGGACTTACTTCCGAACTCAATATAGTCTATAGACTATATGTGACAGATTTGCGTAGAATAGGGTAAGATGTTATCATGAATGGAGATGAAAGGGCTTTTCCAACACGGAGATGTAGCATGGATCAAAGCATTTGTTGGATTTCAGCTTTTACAGGAGGACATCAACGCAGTAGTATTTTAGCAAGCTTACGAACGCATATAGGATACCATGAGGATTGTCATTGGTTTTATTTCAAGTTGAAGAGGAGATATTTTTACGATGTATTACAGTAAGTGACAGTAGAAATATGTCCTACATATAATATGTTGTTGTACTTCGTATTGGTTTAGAATTCATGTAGAGTATGAGACATTAAGTGAAAGTTTTTTGAGGTACATCTGCAATTGTCGGAAGGCAAAAAAAATAATAGAAATAATAATAATAATAATATCCATCTGTGTTCTGACGTTCTGTTATACAGTTGTTGTTGTTGTTGTTGTTGTTGTTGTTGTTGTCTTCACATGAAACCGTATGTCAGTTGCTAAATGCCAAAATCTAGCAAAAGACTCTCAGCCCGTGGTCACGAAAGTGCTAGAGCCATCTGAGGATCTAAAGAACACGCACACATGTAACGAGAAAAAAGTATCCAAGAGCCCNCTGAAGTGCTGTCTGTACAAAAACACCATGGTAGGCATGGAACAAGCAGCTGGCGGGGCACAAAGCTGCTGTCTGAAGTGCTGTCAGAATGTGTCTGCGGCCGTACAGTGAAAACGAACAACCAACCAAACAAAGCCATCATAGCAGCAGTTGACAATCACCCGAATCTCTCCCGATCGTCTGTGTAGGCACTGCAGTGAAAAATATCGACACTAGCTAAGAATCGTTCCACATTGAAGGGGTCTTCCACGATCAGGCACAAAACCAATGCACCCGGGTTAGCCACGCCATCTCTGATGACGGGTCTCTCTACAAAACCGGTGACGATGTCATCACACAAAACCAACACGGAAGGTGAGAAAAAAAATAGAAAAAAGTTTGGCAACACAGAAATNACCTAGAAAAGGTATACCAAAATAAAATGGACCCCAAGGGTCAGCAGAGCGATAAAATACAAGAAAACAAAATATAATCAGAAACAAATAAAATAAAATAAAATAAATAATTAGACTAGTGGAACGGCCGCACCACCAGCCTGGGGGGGTAGCCTCCCACTACATGGAGGCAGGTCGACGGCCAAAGGACGGGGCGGGGGTACGTGCCAGTAAAAAACAAAAGACAAAATAAAACAGAATAAAGCAAAGACGAGGACACGAACAAACTCGCACAGAGACAGGGATATCCCTAGAGACAGTCTGAACGCGACAGCAAACGGGGGAGAGGGCAACAGAAAAATTAGTCGTTGAAATTCGACCGCAACATGTCACGTCACGCGGTCGGTCTCTTCATACTACATGAATAGTAAACCAATACGAAGTACAACAACATATGTAGGACTTATTTCTACTGTCATTTACATCGTAAAAATATCTCCTCTTCAACTTGAAATAAAACCGATGACAATCCTGATGGTATCCTATATGCGTTCGTAAGCTTGCTAAAATACTACTGCGTTGATGTCCGCTTGTAAAAGCTGAAATCCAACAAATGCTTTGATCCATGCTACATCTCCGTGTTGGAAAAGCCCTTTCATCTCCGTTCATGATAACATCTTACCCTATTC